CCTAGTTCCTTCCTGGTTACAAGCTGGTTTCCAGGAAGGCCTAGACTGAAACCACCACAACTGCACAGATGTACAGGCAGGGAGATTTCAATTCACAAAGACCTGGTCTTCTGTAAGCAACACAGGTGAAACTGTAAAGCAGAAAAAATTTCCTCTGCATTATTTTTATATCTTCCTCAATCCTTCCATGCAGCTTCCATATAATTCCAGAGTATCAGAGTTGAATAAATGAACAATTTAAAGCCTGAGAAGAAATTAGAGTCAGAACTGCCTCTCGTTTCTTAAGAATCATTTCTGTGTTCACTGCATTGACTATGTCTCACATTTACTGCAAATATGCAGAAAAAATGCTAAAATTCTGCAGTTTAAACTGAGTAAAACGATAGAACACATGCGAAAGGAATTCCTCATCTTCTCTTTGAATATATATAACAGATTAAATGAACAAAATAGCTGAAATTGTCAAAAGGCATGTAAAATGGCCCATTTCCTTGTTGAAATGTCACCGTTTTAGTCCTTTAGTCCACTGTCTGGTTCGTTCAGCATAACCTCAGGGATGCACACCGCACCGCAGGCTGGGCAAAGGAACTCCCCTCCTCATAGCAGACTGTGAATGTGCTAAGGGATCTAATATAGAAACAAAACAACTGTAGGTTTTATCTAGTGTGACAGATGTATCAGGTAACATCTGGCCTGTTGGCCTGATCAGACAGAAGACCCACCAGCATTCCCAAATCATGAGTTCCTTTCCCTTTACAAGTGTATGCACTATGCAGAATTTCATTAGCACTGTTCACTAGGAATCAAGATAATTCATTGAGGTTATCTTCTGCTTGACAATATTGCTAAAATATACATCCTATATATATATACATGTTAGATGATGCTGACCCAATCAGGCTTATCAGGTGCAAGGAAATCAAAGCTGGAAATCAAGAACCTGGCTGTGACCATGTTGGAAAGTTCTCTCCGGTCTTCTTGATTCAGAAACATCACCTACAAGCCTGATGATGCAAAGAAGTTCTAAACAGACCTGTTCATGACAAAGGTGTCTGAAAAAGTGGCTGAGCATATCCCCAGTGATTCAAATAGCTAGACTGGCACCAGCAGACCAAATCCTGCCTGCCTGGACCCTGATACCTACAAATCCGAAAGGTAAATAACTCAAAGCATCAAGAAAGAAAAGATTTTAATGCTGACCATTCTTCACATAATTGAGGTACTAGGATTATTATCACCTGATTGTTTAAGATCTATGGAAATGCACATAAAAGTTGACATAAATGCTTTAACAATATTTTTCTCCTTATTTAATTCAAAACTTATTTGGATTAAAACCAAAGATCTTACTTGAATTGCTTTTAACTAATTATGTTGATTACATTTTAAGAACTACATTAATTATTAAAGACATTAGAAGCCAAAAGCACTTGACTGTCCTGCTTTCTGTGGCACACAGGTGGAATCATTAACCAACAAGAATAAAAGAAATGGAATCACAGTGATTAACAAAAAAAGAACAGCAAACAATAGGAAGCACGTGAATTTGGAAAGAGAAGTAGAAGGAAAAACATAAAACAAGAGCATTTATTGAGAAGAGGTATTTACTCCTTCAATTCATTATTTTCTTCACAGTTTTGTGACTGTTGAATAGAAAATATTTACTGATTTATTTTTTCCACAGGGAACCACAAGCAGTAAAACTGACAAAATGCACCATAAGGTTCAGTATCCCAAATATCAACTCACTAGATAAAGGAAGAAGAATGGCCTACCTATTCAGACAGTTCCATTAGTCTAGAGATTCTGATAGCATCATTTCTTCCGGCTGTTTTCACATAAATGATGAAAGCAAGGGTCTTTCACAACTTTTTCCTCCTACACAATTAAGTTTAAGCCAAAAATGTTTACCACTAGTATCATTTGTTCTGCAAACTGTGTTAAAAACTGCAAAGCAATTTTAGCTCAGGTCAGTCCATCAATTACTCTTTTATCCATTTCTCACTGAACAGGAGTGAGAAGTACTCGTTTCAGTATTCAAGTGCCTCTCACCCTTCAGCATGCCAGATGAGACTCTGGTAAAGGCTTTACAAGTCTTCTATATCAGTCCAATGAAATAGTATTTCTAAAAGCTTTGGAACCATTCCAACAGTGCGGTTCTGTTCCTGCCAGCATCTTCACACTAACAGAATCTTTGTTTTGGTCACTGAGATGTTTGCATATTACACATGCAACTAATAACAGATGAATGCTCACAGTGCAAAACTGAGATGTCTGCTCATTAAGTCAGCGAACACTTTCCATCCTTACTGTCAAGTGAGAATAGTTTCCAATTGTTTAGGACACACAGAAGTTAAAAATTAGAACTTCTAACAGGAAGAAAAAAACCATTCAAATTCTGAATGCTTACTGCCTGGTTTTCAGTCTCTTACATTCCCCTGTGCAGCTAATAATTTTCTTGCTTTAAGAAAGAAAACATGCTTTCCAAGGAGAATGAAGAGGGCTAAGAGGGCTGAACTTAATTGGAAGACTAATTATTCAAAAGGTCTCTGGATGTCTGCCAGATTCTTCTCAGTCACACTCACTGCAGTCTTCAGGAGCTAAAAAAATAAATCCCAGTGAACCCCTCCAAAAATTAACTGCAACATACTGGCATTTAATATACATAAAATAAATCAGTAAAATGTATTGAAGACAGAAATGTCATTACATTTTAAGATAATTTTTGAAAAGAAAAAAGTTTCCAAATTACTTCTGCAAACTCATCACTGTGGTAATGGAAAGTGTGTCTTTGTGAAAGCACACAAAACAAAGAAACATTCTGCCACCTTTGAATAGCAGAAATTCAGAGTCTGCAGGCTGGCCAGCTAATCGTTTAGTTATTGTTATAAATTGTTCAGACAATTCAAAGTGAGCAATGAAAAAAAAGACATAAAATGCATATAAAAGTAATAAGTGAAAATCTCTACTTCCTTCAAACATCATTCTGCCTTATTAGTCTCTTACAGAGAAACCAAAAAAAAAAAGTATTGATGATTACAGTGCATGTACCTATATTTACAAAGAAACAAAAAAAAAGGGAGCTGATGGACTTTCTAAAAAACACCAACTTTTTTCAGCATTACTTTAAGCTTCATCCTTTTCCATTGCAGTTCTACGCCATAAGAAAAGATTGTTTAACTCACACACATCAAAACATTAGAATATAGTCAAATACGAGAAGGAACCTGCTCCAAACACAGACACACAATTTTAAGTGGAGCCTGGGATACTTACATAAATGTACAAAACTGTTGACACTAAAGTTTAAACAGTTTTTTAGTTACTATATTTAAACAAGGAATGAGTATCCTGAAATGCATCAGACAAAGCATCGCCAGCCGGTCGAGGGAGGTGATTGCCCCACTCTGCTCTGCACTGGTGCAGCCTCACCTTGAATATTGTGTGCAGTTTTGGGCACCGCAATATAAGAAAGACATTAAGCTATGAGAGAGTGTCCAAAGGAGGGCAACGAAGATCATGAAGGGCTTTGAGGGGAAGCCTTATGAGGAATGGCTGAGGTCACTCAGCCTGTTCAGTCTGGAGGAGACTGAGGGGAGACCTCATTGCAGTTACAACTTCCTCATGAGGGGAAGAAGAGGGGCAGGCACTGATCTCTTGGTGACCAGTGACAGAACCCAAGGGAATGGCTTGAAGTTGTGTCAGGGGAGGTTTAGGTTGGATATTAGAAAGAGGTTCTTCACCCACAGAGTGACTGGGTGCTAGAACAGGCTTCCCAGGGAAGTGGTCACAGCACCAACTCTGTCAGAGCTCAAGAAATATTTGGACAATACATGCAGGCCCATGGTGTGACTCCTGGAGACGGTTCTGTTCAGGGCCAGGAGTTGTATTCCATGATCCTGTCCCCTGTGATTCTGTGAAGTACACACACTAAACACCAGGCTCGAGTCACACTCATATAATTCCAACAGATCAAACTTCCAATCAGATGTGGTACCATGACAAGTTTTTGTGACACTCTTTGCAGTCACTAAGACTGATGGATTTACTCCTTTATCCTCACAGTGACAGAAACCAATAAAAACACAAATATATCAATACACAAAAAAGCATATATGGCCACATAGGTAACAGAAGATCTCCTTCCTTTCTTAAAAAGTGTGTTTGTACAGTGCCACAATTTATAGAAATGCTGAAATAATACCATGAATATCTGGGACATCTGCATTTTAAAAAAATGTAGTGTCCTATGAGGAGAAGCTGAAGGAGCTGGGGTTGTTCAGCCTGAAGAAGAGGAGGCTCAGGGGACACCTCATCACTCTCTACAACTACCTGAAAGGAGGTTGTAGCCAGGTGGGCATCGGTCTCTTCTCCCAGGCAACTATCAGTAAGACAAGACAGCATGGTCTTAAACTCTGCCAGGAGAAGTTTAGGTTGGATATTAGGAAGAAACTTTTTACAGAGAGAGTAATCAGACACTGGAATGGGCTGCCCAGGGAGGTGGTGGATTCTCCGTCCCTGGAGGTTTTTAGGATGAAACTGGATGTGACACTTAGTGCCATGGTCTAGTAACCACGGTGGTGTTGGACTTGATCTCAGAGGTCTTTTCCAACCCAGTGGATTCTATTCTATTCCATGATTCTATTCTATTCTAGTGTTCATATTTTAGAATTAGGAGATGTGTGAGATCTATTTTTTTTTTTCCTAACCATTGTGCATTCAGTAGTCTGGTCTTTTCAGAAAGAAAAGTTTTCAAAGTCATTAATATCTCTAGAAGCAGAACTTGATGGACACAGACAACTGTTTTTCTTTCACTATAAGCTTCTCAGTGCAGGAATATATCACTTTTTGTCATCTGTACCTCCATTATCAGTTTCAGTAAAATGATTTACACTGGGTTCCAGTGAACAGAAGGGAAAAGGAGAAAACAAAATAACAATGAAGCAATTGCTTGTATCTTTGATCATTTCATTGACCCAGAAATCCTTGAAGCACAGATGTCATTTCAGGCCCATGAATAGTATTATGGCACCAATGGAAACTGCTCCTAGAAGTGTAAGAGTAGAAGGCTTTTTCTAGAAAAAGGACTAAAAATCTCAAGCATGAAGCACATAGTAAGGATCTCAGAGATTTTAAGTAAAAGGAACTCTTCATATTTCCTCATACACTTTTTACACACTTTATAAATACCTTTTCTTTTTTTAGCTAATGCAAGTCTACAACAGGGATTCTGAAGGTCTAACTTACACTTAGAAAAATTGCATTGAAGACTGACAGAAAAGCCTATTGCCACAAAAATTTGTACCAGTTGGGGATTTAAACATCTAAAGAAGTGTAAATAAACAAGACATTAATTTACATCTGGACTAATATTCAATTCACTTCAAGGGTGTGATTAAAACACAAAAAACCAACCAACCCCTCCCCCAAATTCCAAATCCTAAAACATTCCTTTAATTAGGAGTGGAACTCATGCTCATTTTGTCTGAACTCATGCTGCAGTTAGTCTGAAAATGAAAAAACAGACTGGACATATATACAAAGGGAACAACCTCTCATTTACTCCCCTTTACTGCCTATTTAGATGCAGGTCAAATAAAGTTGCAACACTAACACCTTCATCCAATAAAAGCACCTAAGGAATCATTAAAGTGGTGCATACATGAAGGTGAGCCAAGAAATTTCAATCTGCAGGAGCTAATATATTTCTAAATCTATAACAAGGCTTCAAGATGGACAACTGCTTACCTCAAATAAAATGGACTAATTTTTAAAATTGAATGAAAATTGCATTGAACTACTATCTTGAGAATTCATCCGTCAACCTTTCAGAACAAAATTCATGCTTCAACACGGTCCCAAGTAAGGACAATAGTGTAATCAATAAAAGTCGTCACATGTTAGTGGACTTTGTTAATTCTTAGAATTCTGGCTATTCACTGATCACTGAAATGCACTTCACATGTTGAGCATGCACTGACCCACATCAAGTAATATGTACTTTTAAAATTTTAATAATGAAAAAATGATACAGGTAAAATATGGCCTCCAAGGCTCAAGAAATTGCCCTGCATAGAATTTTATTCTTGCAATTTATTACTTATTCTAAAACATATTTTGTATACTACCACTGACTTCATAAAACTACCATTTACATTTATTAGCTTTAGTAGAACATTTTCTTTATAATTAATGGTATATTCTAATACAGTTAAACCAGAATAATAGTTCGGATTTCATCTTGAGGCTCATTACATTGCTAATCTCAAAGACCATGGATGACAGCAGTTAATTCTTATGTTTTGATGCTCTTTTAATATTTGTCTGCTGGAAAAAAACCCACAAGACCTCCCTAAAAATGTAAGGTGTTTTAACAGTCATATGTAGTTTCCTGTTTCTTTACACAGTTATTAAAACTTGAATAAAACCTCTTTACAATTGAGCCAATCCTATAATTAGTCAATTCTTCACACCTTGCAGAACTGTGCTACACAAAATATTTTTCTCCAAAAGGGGTATGTACTATCAAATTCTAAGGATTTAATAAAACAGTCAGTTAGCCAGGGAGTATTCTGATTTAAAGTTTTCAAAATCTTATCTTTGACCTAGTTGTATTTTGCTACTTTAGGTATTTGCATGAAAGACATGAATTTCTTTTATGACGACAGTAGTTTTAGACAAACAGATGCTCCCTCAACTATGGTCACTGCATATTACTGTGTAAGATTGTTGTTTACATTTTTCTAAAGCCTCTTAGACTATTACTTGTATGTAGAAAATCTGAGACAAATAGAGTAGTCTTTGGCTTTGCAGCCAACACCACATTTAAACAGAAGAAACAAGATGGAGAGAGCACAGATCGTCTCCATCGAAAGGTAAAATAGTTATTTACGAAATAGTTTCAAACAGAACATTATGGTCTATAAGTATCTCAGAACGTGTCAATGAAAGTACACGAATACGAAGAAAGAATCATTTAGGTGTACCAATGCTTTAAAGGAATGTCTTTGCTGTAGTACCATCAGAGCTGGCAAACAGTGTTTTCTTTTGTGAGAACTTACCCTTCCCAGCAGCACACAGGATTTTGATTTAGATCACTCATAAAAAAATACCTGATTGAACCAACTGAACTGATAATAGTTGGCAATCATCATCTAAAAATTTCACAGAAGGAACAGACACACTGGAAAAACATTCAATTCTTATAAAGGAGGGCTACAAATATTACTAGGAGACTGGAGCATCTCTCTTAAGAGGAAAAGCTGAGAGAGCAGTTCCTGTTGAGCCTAGAGAAGAGACAACTGAGAGGAGATCTCACCAGTGCACACAAATATCTTAAGTGCAGGGGTTAGTGGTTCCCAGCAACAAGATAAGGGGCAATGGACACAAAGTGAAACACTGGAAGTTCTACCTCAATATGAGGAAAACTTCCTTACTTTGAGGGAGACAGATCATTGGAACAGGCTGCCCAGAGATCCTAGGCAACCTGTTCTAGATAAACCTGCTTTACTATGGGGTTTGGATAGATGATCTCCAGAGGTCTCTTCCAACCCTAGCAATTCTGTGATTTTGCTACTGTGAATAAATATTTCTTGATTCATTAAATATATAATCATAGCATTAAGCAATTGTGCCTACTGATCTATCACACTGATGCAAATAACACACTTAGCACAAAAAGATTTTCACATACAGTCGGTTGCAGCTATTGTTGACAACTGGAGAATTTTATGGTACTCAGATATAACTACAATAATTAGTTTACTTACTTTCTCATTTTAAAATCTTTATCAAACAGACATATTTGGAAATATTCTGAAACCTCTGAATACAGCCCTCTGGTACAATTAATCATTACTAAATTGTATTCAATTGTGCTCAGCTTCTTCCTTAAGTGCCAAATGGAACTGTATAGAAATGTGCAATAGGCACATGCTGGGCTGCCTTGCTCATAGTCATCCCAGATTAACAGGTAGGGAGAGGGGAGTATTTGTGGAAAGATACTCACAGCTCAAGCACTGTGGCCAAGTGCTCAGCTGTTAAGGGCTGTGTTAAGCCAGCAGGGAACCTTCAATTTCACACGTGAAAGGATGAAAGTATAATTCCTGTGCCAAACCTAGGCCTCAAATTAAGAGTCTGATGCATCTCTAATTCCATTTGACATGAAACACTCTCTCAGAAGGGTTAGCTTATTAAACTGAGCTCTATTTACTAGAATTTTATGTGTAAGAAACTGGAGGGACAGACCCAATAGGAAAATAAAGTTTCTTCTTTACTCCCCAAGGACTGGGAAAGAAAGAATTGCCAGAATTTAGCATTTAGGAAATTTGATTCAAATGAACCAGTCAGTTGTTAACAGATAAGCACAGATCTGAAAACGAGGACTCAGATGTCAGAATGTCGAAACTAATGTGCATCAAATTTTTAGTTCAGAATCTGGCCTCCTGCCCCAATTAAAGAGAATCTGGTAAATACAATGCTCAGATAGCAAATACAGGTAACGCCATAAACCTCTACACTGTCTGACCAGGCGACTAAAAAGTACTGAAATAAGCCACAGCACATCTGAAGAAGCTTTCATTAAATCACTCCTGTGAAGAACCTCCTAGCATGGAAAAAATAAAGAAGCACAATACATACTATATTAAATAAGGAAACCTGGTCTAGTTGTGTGAGTGTGGGGGGTGTAGCTGAGGAGGGACCTCGGTACCAGCTCAGGTGGTGTGACAGTGACTGCCAGAGTAGCTCCTGGATGGCCGGAGGGGAAGTTTCCTTAACACATAACAAAGGAAAGAAGTGGCAATCGAAAAAATAAAGTTGTTTCTTTTTTTCATTATTATGTTAGTAATACTAACATAAAAAAGAAAAGGAATTTTTAAAGAATATTTACAGATAGAGCAAAACACCAAGAGACTGTTTTTCAAGGTCAATGAGTAGCCTGTTGCTACTGCTTATTACACAGCTGAAAAATCAGCATACATACATCAATAGGAAGCAAATTTGCAAGACCTGAAAGGTGCAGCAATATTCCTTCTTCAAGTCAAAGAGAAGGCAGATAAACTAGAATTCAGAATCAATACCATGCTGACAAAATATTTCCTGGTAAAACTATCAGCTCGTGACAATGAATTCTTTTATTTTATTTCAGAGCTTAGTAAGAGAGACCCTATAATATAATGACATATATGATTATATGACATATATATAATATCATGACATAATACTCTTATTTTTTAGCATTGACTCTAACTGCTGGGTGAGGTCTGCACCGACTGAAAAAAAAGAGCAAGTGTGGGCAGATGTGGCTACCGAGGCATTTTGGTTACCAAACCAGGAGGTTAGCTGCTTTTCTCCTCCTACGCAAATGCGTGTTACACACAGTGGTCTCTCTCCAGGTCTGCTACTGCAGTTGTCAACTCCCTTCCTTTTCTATGTGCTGCCTTGGTTGTTCTACCTTTTTTGCACAAACAGGAACTCTCTGAAAAGTTCCCAGAATGTAGGTTTGCCTGATGTATTTTACCCACTGAAAAAATATCACTGACAGATTTAGTAGCAACACTTATGCAGTATATTTGGTCAGAAGCCAATGAGGCTACCAAATTTTGTGCTAACTAAAAGTTTGCCGAAAAAGTTATTGTTGAGAAAAGGCTATTATACACATAGATCAAAAACCAATCTAAAATAAGGGGAGAGCTTTCCTTCAAGTTTAGTCACACAGTGTAACAAGATAAAAAAAAATCCAAATTAAATTCTTGTTTATCTGGCCTTGCCATTTTCCCAGTATGACATGTTCTTTATTTAACAGTATAAGTCAGTCATAATGAAATTAGATTTTGCTCTTCACCCAAATAGAGAAAAACGTCACATTTTTATTTTCTTGTTCTATAAAAGCATACTTATGAAAGGCAATAGGTAAGGTCTTGCATTTCATTGCTGACTCATATGCCAAACAGAATCATTAAATGAAACTGTTTCTGAAGAGACTGAATTTTAAGCAGTATATTAGAGTTGTAAATATAAGCCAATGGCTCTTGCTATGCAATCCAT